AAGAGTTACAGAATTTTTACAAGATTGTCTTTACATAATACAATTCCATAATCAGCCTGGCGTCTAAACGCCTTCCAGTTATCCAGCATACATCCCAGGGGTGTCCTGGAGAAGGTGCTTTGTCCGGACCCCATTATGCTTTACCCAGAGTTTTTCGAGACAGAGGTATCAAGAGGGGGAAGGGGTCGGGATCTAATTCTAACTCAGATATCTGCTGGGTCACGAGGTTCGGCTGACCCCCCTTGCAATCAAGATATCCTGGTCACTGGGTTTCCCCTCGCAGGAGACTTGGGGCGGCTGAAGTCAGCTTAAGCCTCAGACCTGTCAGCGGCACTCATTCAACTTTCACACAGATCCTTTAATCAGTTACAATCTCGGTTTCCAACACACCATTAAGAGGAGAAACAAGAGTAACCCCTGAGGTTGCTCCAAGTCCCAATAATTGTTAAGAACGGCCCATGGACTTGTGGAGTTAGTTACGTTACTCATTGGCCGTTACTTGCTTGCTCTTTAACCAGAAACACAACAACAAAGCATTTACAAAGCTACAATGATGTTAATATACCTTCCCATGTACAGGCTGCCTAGGGGATTTCCACCGTCCAACCCACACTTTGGGGGCATTATTCCTCGAACCCAGGAGGTAAATGCACTTACCGCCCGAAGTGGCCGCATCCAGCAGTCGAACTTCCCCCTTCTTCTGAAGCCGTCTTGCTTCCGTGTCCTTCAGAGTTCTCTTTAGAGAGGACGCAGCCGCCCCGGCCGATTGTGACGATCCGGAGCCCGAGCAACAGCTCGAGGTGGCCACTCCTCAGAATTGCCCTCGGCTGTCGGTCAGCGCCCCCTACAGGGAGAGAAGTCCCATCTGGGGTGCCATTGTTAGCCAAATGGGCTCGTTTCCCCCTGGAGCTGCCCAATTACCCCAAGGAGGCATGGGAGTCTAAAAGACGGCTTCAAGTTCTTTATTGATCAGTCAGCTGAGCGGGTGTCCCCCCTCGACTAATGCCAGAGGGAGGAGCACAACTTACAAGCGCAGAGCAAGCTTTTTTTATACACAATAACAAACAACTTAGCATGCATACATTCTGCTAACCTATGGAATTTTTAAATTCCTTTCTAGGGGTAAACAGGATACATCTGTTGGACTTCCTTGATTGGAAGTATAGGCGGTATTGTTTTGTATACGTATAGGCGGAAGGCAGCTTCGTGCATGTGGGGAGTGGCTGGGAAAATGGGCAAATAGTTGACCTTTGCTCTAACACAGTGTTAGCTCACACTGTTATTGCTGCATGCAAACATGCTGAAATCTGCAATTTTCCTCCACCTGACACAGTTCTGGGGGAAAAAACAGATACCACACTTGTACTTTGGAGAAACGATTTTGTGACCTGCAGACTGCATGCACTATCTCTAACTGAAATGCATTCGATTTGGAAATAAAATACCATTTCCCAAACACATACACTCAATTC